GGGGACTGTAAGGAGCCCCGGATTTGAGCAATTCGCCCTGAGCGGATGCCCTCAGCTGTGCCCAGACACGGCCCGGTCCGTCACAGTCTCTTCTTCCAGGGCTTGCTCATGTCCCTCCCACATCTGGGGGCCCAGCCAGAACCCAGGGAGGCCGGTAGGAACTCACGGCCGCGTAGATTGCAGCAGCTCTGCCAGGCCCAGCATGACACCATAACGAGACACGAACGTGTGGCCAGAGGACCACGCTGCAGCTCTGCAGATGGGCCGTGTCAGGATACGTGCAGGAAGGCCGCCTGAGCTCTGGTCAAGTGGGCGAATCAGCGGCAGCAGAACCCTGGCCAGCTGGTAACGGGTCTATCTGCAAAGCGCTCTAGTGGGAAAACATTCGGCAAGGAGACCGACAGCCCTTTGTCTGATCCTGTAGCGGTGAAGAGCCGGGTCGATTTACAGAAAGGCTTGGGGCACTGAGTCAAAGGCAAAGCCCTCTGGACAGGCTGGGTGTGCACACACCTCTCCTCTGCCGCCTTGGCCAGCTTGGGACAGAACGCCAGGAGGAACACGCCCTGGTTCACATGGAAGGCAGGCCAGGCGGGGCCACAGCAGGACCTTATGCTTAGAAAAAGGCCACAGAAGGAGGTTCTGAGGTCAAGGCTTTAGTCTCCCAGACTCGTCACGCCAGCATCACCCGCACCGGGAAAGCGACGCGGTGGGAGGGAGCAGGAGCCCAGCAGCTCGAAAGGCAGGCTGGGGAGCTGCAGAGGTGCAGATAAGGTCCCACTGCGGGATGGGGGCCCGTACCTGCCGGTAAACCCTCTCGCGGCCTCTTAGGAATCTGACATGCCATGAAGAAAGCCTTGTCCCTGAATCGGTGGGTGAAAGGGGAGATGGCAAGGTCTCCTGTTAGGGGGGTCTCGTGCTAGGGCCTGGCTCCTGAGACGCAGCAGGCAATCTAAGATGGACCACACTGTAGAACACGAGGCAGATACGCTGCATTGACACCCAGTGGGCAAACGCCCGCCACTTGGCCATGGGGATCAGTCTCACCGACGGCGCCCTGCTCCCCAGGGGGACCTGCTGACCCTCCAAGGTGGCCCACTCCTCCGGGTTCAACCACACAGAGGAGCAGAGACTCGAGGTGGAGAGGGAGGGGCTGCCCTGCCACCATCTTCATGAGCCTGCTGAAGCAGCACTGGCGAGGACCCGCCGGGGGCTATCGCTATAACCTAACACTAAAATAAAATGAATGGAGAGCGTCTATCTCCTAGAACTGGAAGGGACCTCAAGAGGTCACCGAGTCCAGTCCCCTGCCCTCACAGCAGGACCAAGCACCATCCCTGATGAATTTTTGCCCCAAATCGCCTCCGCAAGGATCGAACTCACCTCCCTGGGTTTAGCAGACCAATGCTCAAACCACTGAGCTATCCCCCTCCCCCACAAGGTTCAACCTGTGCTATGTCCCTTTTGATCTTTCCTAGGGCCCAGCTGATGGCAGGCGGAAGGCATGGGTGAGGGAGTCCTTGTGCAGGCCCTGCCGGGAGCAAAACCAATGGCACTTTGTTTTGCCTGACAGCAAACAGGATCACTGGGGGCATGCCCTACCTCAAGTCTGGGAGGTCTCACCATGAGTGGTCACTCCAAGTGGGGCAGTCCCGGATGCGGTGATCCACTAGGGCATCCCTGAGGCCGGAGAGGGGACCAGCCTGCAGACGAAGGTTGTGGCTGATGCTGTAGTCCCAGAGAGCGCCTGCTGGCAGAGCCGACGAGCATGCTCGCCTGTGCCAGCCGGTGCAGAACACCAAGGCAGCACTGCCCCTCTGGACCCTGCCACTCTGCCTGACTGGTGCAGCAGGAAGACACCGCAGCCAACCCCACCCCTCAGCTCCTTAACATCTGGTCCTCCTCCAGGGACCACATCCCGGGGTCTGGAGATCCCCAGCCGAGGTCCCCGGCATCTGATACCAGCTCAATGGAGGGAGAGCGGCTGTCCAAGGGAATTCCTTACAGGACTTCCCCTGGATCAGCCCACCACTGCAGTGAAGGGACCGTGCCAGGGGAGTGGTGTATGATCTTTTCCAGGTGATCCCTGGCCTGGGAATAGGTTGATGCACACAGAGGCTGCACACGGAGCCTGGAGCAACAGCAGCAAGCTCGTGCATGGGCCATGCAGCTCAGCAGATGCAAGAACACCCTGGCTCTGGTCGGGGAAAGGCAGACGTTTCCAAAGCGAGGTATGTCAGGGCCCAAAACCCGTTGAGTGGCAGGAAGGCTCTTGCTGGGTGGAGTGGTGCACCGCTCCAAGGAATTCTCCCCTTTGTACTGGGACTGCAATGGACTGCCACTCACCAGTAGCCCCGGGCAGCAATGTGGGGCTTGCAGAACTGTGACGGCTCTTTGGCCCTGAGCTGCCTTGGACCATGATCGGCTTCAAGTGGAATGTCCCAAGGGCCAATTCTAGGGCTGGTTTGATTCAACATCTTCATTAACGGCCTGGATATGGGGATGGATTGCACCCTCAGCAAGTTTGCAGATGACACTAAGGGGGGGGGGGAGGAGGTAGATACGCTGGAGGGCAGGGAGAGGGTCCAGACTGACCTAGACACATTGGAGGATTGGGCCAAAAGAAATCTGATGAGGTTCAACAAGGACAAGTGCAGAGTCCTGCCCTTGGGACGGAAGAATCCCAAGCATTGGTACAGGCTGGGGACTGACTGGCTAAGCAGCAGTTTGGCAGAAAAGGCCCTGGGGGTTACAGTGGATGAGAAGCTGGAGATGAGTCAACAGGGGGCCCTTGTAGCCAAGCAGGATAGTGACACATTGGGTTGCATTAGGAGGAGCGTTGCCAGCAGATCCAGAGAAGTGATCATTCCCCTTTATTCGGCTTCGGTGAGGCCACATCTGGAGTGTTGTGTCCAGTTCTGAGCCCCCCACTAGAGAAGGGATGTGGACGCATTGGAGAGGGGCCAGCGGAGGGCGACCAAAATGATTCGGGGGCTGGAGCACATGGCCTATGGGGAGAGACTGAGGCATTTGGGCTTGTTGAGACTGCAGAAGAGAAGAATGAGGGGGGTTTGAGAGCAGCCTGCAAGGGGATCCAAAGAGGCTGTTCTCAGTGGGGGCAGACCGAGGAGCAATGGGCTCAAGTTGCAGTGGGGGAGGTCTAGGTTGGAGATTATGAAAAACTGTTTCCCTAGGCGGGTGGGGAAGAGCTGCGATGGACTCCCTAGGGAGGGGGTGGAACCTCCATCCCTAGAGTGTTTAAGCCCCGGCTGGGTTGATTGAGTCCGGGTTGGTCCTGCTTTGGACAGGGCACTGGACTTGACTCCTGAGGGCTCTGCCCACCCTGGGATTCTCTGATCTGGACACCCCGACGCCTGAGGAGAGCTGCTGCTACTGTCATGCACCTGGTACACACTCTTGGTGCCATGGCCAGACCAAACAGGCCTGCAGACTGGCAATGGGCAGGACCCCCTGGAAATCAGGGAGCATCTGAGCAGGAAGCTCCCTGTGGGAAAGCAGGCACCCTGCAGGTCGAGGGCAGCATCCCATCTCCCAGAGCCAGGGAGGGGATAATGGAGGCCAGGGGGACCGAGACTGTCAACTCCTGGGGCTGGTCTGCATCCCTGCCAGAGAGCACGTGCCTCAGTGGGCCTGTGCCAGGGTACCAGTGAAGTACACCGAGTCCTGCTGCCAGTGCCCTGGGACTGTAGCAGGCTCCGCTGTGTCTGCCTCCCTAGCTCCCAGGCACTACGGCACAACCCTCCCAAGGAGCAGTGCCGCTCAGGCAAGGACAGACAGTAAGGCCTCCAAGGCACGTTACTCGAGGTCTGGGCAGCACCAGCCTCCCGAGCAGCCTGGAGAGCTTTGAGTGCTGAGAGCACGTGAAGCCGACAGTCGGGACATCAAATCCTGAGGAACTGGTTAACCAGTCAAACAGCTTCACATGGACTGAAATGAGCTGCCAAACACGTCTTGCCTCACCCCCAGCCCTGTCCTTTCCCTGGCAGGGAGCAGACCATCCTCTACCGGCTTCTTGGCCAGGGCCATCAGTGGCGATTGGTGCCAGCTCACCGATGCACCAGCAGGGCACTGCACATGGACACCTTGGGGCTGCGTGCCAAGAGAGACCTCTGCTCTGGGGCCAGAGGGAGCAGTGACTCCGTCGGGAGCACCTGGAGCTGATCTCACGCTCCTCCCTAGTCCTAGGCACGTAGGACTTGCAGACAACACATCAGCGCCATGCCCTCTGTCCAGGTGCCAAAGACAGCTGTACGGGGAGCACTGATGGGCACAGGGCCTGTCCAGCAATGTCAGGGCTTAAAGCCTTGTGACCAGGGCATGCCAGCCCGCAGCCAGGACTCCCCAAACTGTAAAGCACTGCAAAGGACAACACTGCGTCACTAGCTACGGCCACCTTGATTGTCCGAAAAGCCTGAGCAACGCAAGGAAGAGCAGAGAACGTTCCAGCACCATCACTGGCGGCAAGGAACTGAGCATGGGGGAGCCAGCGGTGCCCCTTACACGGCGCCAGACAGGTGCCACTCCACAGGGCGCAGAGCCACTCCTACAGACAGATACTGCGGAGGGGACTGGCCAGCACACCCCCCAGGAGTAAGCACTCCAAGGAGAGCATGGACATGCCCCGTCCCAGCACGACTCGCCGTAGCCAGAACACTCATCAAGCCCTGACTCCCCTCAAGCCTTAGCCTGCCCAGGAAGCATCAAATACAGGAGACTTCCACACCTGCCCCAACGCTGGCCCTCGCGGGGACCCTGTGGACACCAGCACGGTCACCAAGACATCACCCGAAGGGCTGCAATCCTATACAGGCATTTCCAGAGGCAGCGCCTGTTTCGCCTCCCTGGAGTCCTCCAGGCACCTATCCAGCACCCACCCGGGTCTGACCCACTCCAGGGCGCTGTCCTAACCACCAGCCCCTTCTCCTCCCCCCAGAGGCGAGCATGCCACCTCTCTGCGGTAGGCCCACCTGGAGTCCCCACAACGCATGGCCCTGTATCATAGGAACACCACCCAAACCCGTAAACGGGCTCCACCACCACCTCCCCTACCACGCTGGTGCGAAGAGTCGTTTGGCCACAGCTCGTGGCAGGGTAGAACGTTGTCCCCGCCCGTAACTTCAGACCAGAGCCAGAGCGACTCCAACAGAGCTGCACAGGCAGAGCCATTCCCGCAGCGGCTCCTGCCAGAGTCTGCGGGATACCAGAGATCACGCCAGAATTCACTTGGAGCACGCCGCCAGCCGGGTTATACCAACCACCCGCTCTCCCACGCCCGTCAGCTACACACTGCTTACAAATATTTGGAGCAAAACAGCCACCTACAGATATTTTGCTCCACATACCGCCTGCCACGTGCCCCCGCGCCGCGCCCCCCGCCTGCAGTGATTTGAAACCACAGCACAGGGCAGGCTAGGTCTCTGCTACACCAACCTGTTCGGAGCCGGAGGAGTTTGTTCTACAGCAGAGACAGGGGTTTAAAGCGTGCTGCAGAACAAGGATGCATGTGACTAGTCGACTGCCTGATAAGCATGTTCTTAGCAGGTAGTCAAGTAGTGACCCAACTAGTTGCTCCCCCCTTGCCTCTACCAGAGAGGGGAGCAGGGGGAGAAGCAGGAGCAGATGCTGGGAGGAGCTTGCTTAAAAAGCCTCTTCCGCCCAGCACCAGGTCCACAGCGGGTGGGGGAGGAGGCAGGAGAGGCAGAGGCAGCAGGGAAACAGCACAAGTTGGGACTGCCTGCCTCACCCTTTGAAATGCACAAGAACAGCCCAGGGGCAGTGCAGGGAGGAGCCCAAGCAGCTGTGCCTCTTCCTTTGAAACGTACAAGAGCCGCAAGCAGCTCATGTACATTCCAAAGGCCAAGGCCTAGTGGGACAGCGAGTGTGCCCCTTACCGGCCAACCAAGTAGGCAATGGAGATTCCATCGACTACTCGATTAACTGATTCACCGAAATGGAACATCCCGACTGCAGAACTGTGATGGTGCCTCACTCAGGTTCAAGCCCGCAGCAGCTCAGGACTAACAGCAGAACATGGCTAAGTCCAGCAGCCCCAAGCTGAAACCTGGCTGCAGTTAGGTCCCCCTCCCGGGTAGCAGTTTCGACCACAGAGCTAGAACAGGAATTGCTTCCCACCTTCTATCATGTGGGCACCCTCGCTCTGGTGCGAGTGGAAGGACTCAAACTCGGGCCTGAGCACTTGGCTCGGAGCGGCTGCCGGAGCCGGTAATGGTTGCACATTTACAGATTAATCAGCCGCTCCGCGCAGGAATGTGCTGGGGGGTCCGACGGCGGTCGGTGGGGGCGCCAAGGGAAGAGAGACCCTCCCACTCTTGCATTGCTAGGGAACATCGCAAGGTCCAAGAACAATCTGACCAACGGGGACAGCAAACCAAAGGCTTCCCTGGGCTCTCGTCTAGTCAGCCCAATGCTCACCGACTGATCACACTACTATTCTGCAGGGTGAATTGGCACTCGAGAACCAAGTGTGGCCTCCTGCCAGCCCCGTCAGGAGGAGCTGGGATTCCGGGGGCTGCACATTTCCCGTTTTCTAAAGGTTATTAGCTAGCCACCACAGCAGCAGATGCTATTCAAAGCCATATCATGCCCTGGGTCATGTTTCCACCTGGATAATCACTTCCTGCTTCCCTAGAACTCCCACAGGACTAACACTGGAGATAAAACTCCTTACTGCCGCACCTAGGAGAGGGGAAGGGAAGCTGTGCTCTGTTCCAGCAGCTCGTGCATCCCACCTCATAGGGCTGCTGGGGCTGCGGCGGCCCTCGTGTAACTGCACCAGCAGCTTTGGGGCCCTAGTAGAAAGAGCAACAATGCAGCTGATTTACTAGGAACGGAATCCACATTCCACCCCAGTGGAGGGCTTCATTCAACTGACTCCAGTGCACAAGGTGCCAGGAACCTGTGGCGTGTTTCCCCGTGTTCAGGAGCGGGTCACTGTGCCCAGCTGAACAGCAGATAGCGGCTACACCCCGATCACCGATCCCAAACACGTCTACCTGGAGGCCATTTGCATTGCCCATGGCTCCATGCACTGGCACCTGCCGTTTGCTATTTGCCATGCAGAACGTGGCATAATCATGAATTCTTATTGGTTACTCGACATTCTACAGTCCCGGGGGCGGGGCGGCAGCCAGTGCACTCCAGGCCCACCCCTCTATCAGAGGCTGCAGCACAGGGTGCCAGGCAGGTGCTGGTCCGCAACGGGATCCAGTTTAAAAGCCAGCTCCCCTCACCGACCGGCTGCCTGTCGCCCCGCGCTGCTGTCTGACAGAGGCAGTAGCACAGGGTGGCAGCAGCCCCTGTCCCGCGTGGGGTGAGGCTGAGCTCCCGGACCCAGCATGAGCTGGAACCGAGCTGGGCTGCCTACCCGCCTAATGCACTTTAAAT